AATGTCTTCGTGTAGGGGAAGAACTATATCTTGCTAATAAATTAACAAAAAATGCTATGTCGAGTTTCGTAGCATTAGCAAGATACATAAGTGCCCCAATTGCACTGAGATAAGGTACTTCTGGACCAAGAGGTTCCTCATTTTCTTCTTGAGGTCGGAATGGATCCTTACTCACTTCAAGTGATCGAACAACCATTGGAGTACTTAATGAATGTGCTTTGTCCATGTAAAATCGTTTCAAGATCTTCTTAGTATAGGCAAATTGATGGATGAAGACCCCGTCTACTAAATATTCTATTTGTAGTCCAAGACAAATTTTTATCTTTCCAAGGTCTTTCATCTCAAATTCTTTCTTTAGATATTCAATTGCCTTTTGAACCTCTTCTGGAGTTCCAATGAGATTAATGTCATCAACATAAACAGCAAGAATAACAAATCCCAATGTTGTTTTCTTAATAAATATACAAGGACAAGTGGCATTGTTTATATAACCTTGTTTTATCAAGTACTCACTAAGGCAATTATACCACACGCGCCCCTGAATGTTTTAAGCCAATATAATGACTTTTGTAATCTGATTGAATACATTTCCCGAGATTTATATGCTTCAGGCATTTTAAGTCCTTCCGGAACATTCATATAAATTTCATTATCTAGTGAACCGTAAAGGTAAGCTGTAACCACATCCATTAGATGAATTTCAAGATTTTCATGTACAGCTAAGCCGATTAGATATCGAAAAGTTATTGCATCCATAACAGGTGAATATGTTTCTTCAGAGTCGACACCAGGTCGTTGAGAGAATCCTTGTGCAACAAGACGTGCCTTGTATCTTACAATCTCATTTTTCTCATTTTTTTTTCGTACAAAGACCCATTTATAGCCAATTGATTTAACATCACTAGGCGTTTGGACTACTAGTCCAAAAACCTCACGCTTAGCAAGTGAATTTAATTCTGATTGAATTGCTTCTTGCCATTTTGGCCAACCACATCTTTGTCGACATTCTTCGACAGATAGAGGTTCAAGATCCTCATTTCCTTTCATAATGTTAAGTGCAACATCATATGCGAAAACATTATCCACTATGATTTTTGATCGATCTAAACTTATCTCATCACCTGTAGAACTTATTGAGAGTTCTTCATTTACTTGAGTCTCGGGTTCACTGATCTCTTCAGGAATATCAGGATTAATCAGATCTTGAATTTCTTCGTGAGATTCTTTTGTAGTGTCATTTTTTATACTTCTTTTTCTAGGATTTTTATCTTTTGAACCCAATGGTCTACCACGCTTCAGACGTATTTGTGATTCAGAAGCTATGACACTTGTAGATGGTCCTTTTGGGACGTCGATTCGGATAGGCACATTTACTGCAGGAATATGTGATTTTGTTATCCTTTTTGAATCAGTAAATGTGTCTAGCATTTGATTTGCTATGTTTTGCAAATGGATGATCTTTTGGACCTCTTGTTCACACACAGGGGAGCGTGGATCAAAATGAGATAATGATGAAACTTTCCATGCAATTTCACTTTTAAGTTTCTTTTTCTCTCCCCCTAATTGCGGAAATTTGTTTCATCAAATCGACAATCTGCAAATCTTGCAGTGAATAAATCTCCCGTCAATGGCTCAAGGTAGCAAATTATTGAGGGTGAATCAAACCCAACATATATGCCTAACCTTCTTTGAGGGCCCATCTTGGTGTGCTGATGTGGTGCTACAGACACATATACAACACATCCAAAAATTCGAAGATGAGCAATATTTGGTTCATGGCCAAACACTAACTGTGATGGGGAGTATTTATTATAATGAGTCGGTCTGAGACGAACAAGTGATGCTGCATGTAAGATAGCATGACCCCAAACAGCAGTAGGCAACTCACTTTTCATAAGTAGAAGTCTTGCTATCAATTGTAAGCGCTTAATAAATGACTCAGCAAGGCCATTTTGAGTATGGACATGAGCTACAGGATGTTCAACTTTTATCCCTACTGATACGCAATAAGCATC